GCCGGTGGGACTCGAACCCACTCAGACCCTCCAGATGAGGGCCGGTGGGACTCGAACCCACTCAGACCCTCTCACCCTGGAGACGGCTCCCCGGGCCAGCAGAACAGAAGTCCGGGTCCGTCGACCCCTTCTTACTTTCCGCCAAATTCAGATGACTTGATCAAGTCTCAGGTTGCAAACAGAACAGACACAGAAGCGCACAACAGACAAGACAGATACATACAACAGAAAAGACGGCTGGCCAGCTCACCTCCCGAAGGTGGGTCGGTGGTCCCTGGGTGGGGGGGTCTCAGATCTCGCTGGGGCCTCCAAATGAAAGATCCCCGGAGGGTATCTTCCGTCAGAGAGACCCCCTCCCAAAGACCAACGAGTCCATTCGGATGCAAACAGCAAGAGGCTTTTATTTTGATACTCAGGTACCCGGGGCGAAAAGTCATTCGGAAGACTTCCGCGCCCCCTAGATGGGAAGCTGGGGTTTTTATAGGGTTTTAGAGGCAGAAGCACTGGTACAGAAACGAGAGGGCATGGTTACAGGGGGCTGATTGGTACGTTTACACGAGACCACAATTTGCGTCAAAGTTTGGCAGGGGCACCAAGATTTCAGGAACTGGGTGGTCAAGGGGGGTAGGATGACCCCTTGACGTGGCCTGCCACCTGTTATTTTGTTTTTCCCTATCTTAGCTGAAACAGTCTCACAGATATCTATGAGAGTGATTAACACAAACTGTTTTTATTATGACTGGGGCAGCCTGACCACAGATATCCCAAGTGGGTGACACAGCTAGGATTTTTCAGTAATTTTCCAGTTTCTCATCTGGCCTTCAGAGTTTTACAAAACAGTGGTGTCTCACAAAATGGCATTAGCTATGTTTAACTTAGTGTGAGGCTGGGGTCTTTCATTCCCCCATTTTCTTTTAACTTAGAATGGAATCTTCCATTCTCGGGCCTAGGAAGAGTTAACTTTTGTCTCCTGTTGTTTGAGCTGATGATATTGTTGGGTCAACACCAACGCTTGTAACCGATCTTTTATGAACTGGATCAGCCAATTTAGAATATAAGGCCCAACTAGTAGAATCAGGAGAATTATGATTAGGGGACCCATAATGGAGGAGATCAGGGTGGTAATCTAGGGGGACCGACTAAACCATCTCTCGTACCAGCTCTGTCCTGACTCAAAGAATTGTTGTCTCTGTCTGAGTCTTTTTCTGAGTTTAGCCATGTTATCTCTTATCAATTTAGTATGGTCAGCAGCTAAGCAGATGCTCAAGATAATAGCCAATGTCAGGGAGCCACTTTTGACTTAGCATTTCAGCCTGTTAGGGGGGATTTGGGCGGAGATCCGTCTTCTGTAGCTTCTTCATGCTGACCGTTGGACGTAGGCATCAGGGACTGGGGAGGCTGAAATGCCAGTCAAAAGCTGGGCAATAGGGCAGTCCCAAGCATCTGGTCAGTTGATCCACCGGAAGAGGCAGGGAGCAATCAGGTCAGTTTTCAGGAAGTCCAGATCTCAGCTTGTAGTCTATAGCTGATCCCAGAACAGAGTTGAACAGGTGAAAATCTGCTGAGACAAATTTAGACTGGAGGCAGAAGTTAAAATTTATCTATTAAATTGGAAAGATTAGGAAAAACCTCATCTGTAAATACTCAGAAAAGTAACATATCAGCAAATTGAACATTTTGAGAGTAACAGGTAAAACTACATCTTAACATTTTTTTTTCTGTGGGCATAGCTGTTGGTATTTAGCCACGAATGAAGCTTGGATGTTTATATTGGAAAGTTAGGCAGAAACACATTACTGGCTTTAGTGTTAAACCCTGGATGTTTGATTTTTTTTTTATTTCTGTATCAAAATCTATCCCAGAAATGGCAGATATTAAGAATATCATACTAAAAGCTATGACTTTTGTGTCAGATATATACATTAAACAGATGTTTTTAACATGACGAGAAGTATCTTTAAGTTTATCTCCAGAAGCCAATCAAAGGAAATTAAAATCTCAACCTGGTGACTGAATAATAAGCAGTCAGTGCTCTATCAACTTATCAGAACTCTATTAATAAATGTCAAAACTCTGAACTTCTGAAATCTCATAACATAAGCACAACAGTAGCAAAGAGGGGGGAGAGATCTAAAGTATCTCTCATTTTTAACATGTTTTAAACTATTTTTATCAACTTAGACACTCTAATTTTTTTTTGTATTTATCAACCCTGAAACATTTTTTTTCAGACCAAATAATAACATTTTAGATTTTATAACCTAAACTCTTATATCTTTAGACTCTATATAGGCTCCGTATTATATATTTTTTTTTATCTAGTTATATATCTTAAGACACAGATAACTAACATGAATTCTGTGAGCAAGGGAAACCTGTCTTTCTTTCTAAATAAGAGATCTAGTACTCAGTAGTTTTAGCTAATTTAGCTAATGAACTGATCAATGAACTAACAGTGGATCTAATTGTCTTTTTTCTAGCTGTAAAGCTACCGTAAGCTTAGCATAGCCATCAAGGTGTTCAGAGACCTGAGAAGGATAAATTATAAGCTGAATAAATATATAATCAAAATGACAGAGATGACTATTTAGTCCATCACCTAGGCAGTGTCCCTCGCTCCTATTTCATGGCATCCTGAACAGAGGCTGTCCAGCCTGGCACAGAAGGTGAGAGACTGCTTTTACTGCTTCTGTGGAAAGAGGAACAGAAGAGATTGACCTCACCTTGCCTCTCACAATGTGAGACAATGGCTCCTCAGATGTCCCCGGCTTTGTCCACAGCTTAGGCTGGGCCCTAGCAGTGGGCCAGTTGAGGCAATATTGCCCAGTGGTTAGCATACCACAATCCAGAGTCGCAGTCATCTGTCGTTGTGCCCAAATCTTCTCGGAGACCTTGGGGGAGCTACTGCCAGGATTTCAGAACTTTCTGTCACAATAAGCTTACACAGTTAAAATGCCATATTCATCAGATCTCTGACAAGCCTGAGGGCCAGCATATCTGAGTTACTCTTTGTCTATCTTTATTATCTGTTTTAAACTGTATAAAAGAAAAACTAAACAAAGACACTAGGTGTAGCCAACTGTAGTTGTTAGTATAACTTTAAATCTGTTCTTTCTGAACTAAAATCAAAGCAAATCTTTTAATCAGACATAGTTCATAGAGAGCCTAGCAAATCTTGTTGTTCCTATCACTTGCATTAAAATTGAACAGTAAAAAGCTTTGTATTTAGTACTAATCAGATGACTGAACATAACTGAGATACCTGAACAAAAATGATCACAAACTCATGGCTCTATCCTCTTTCTCTGGACTAGCATGGCGGCTGACCACGTGTAACTGAACTCAGCTGGAAGCCCTAAACAGATATGGCAGCAAAAATATAGTTTTATATGTTCTCTATCCCTGAAAGATCATGGTGGCTAGCCTCGTGTTAGGCTACCACAGGCTGTGACTGACAATATCAAACATAGCTATTAGGTGCTGATGATGATACAGCAAACATTGTGGAGCATTTATAATCCCCCACAACCAACATTTTTAACTTAGTGATTAAATAAGTTTTAGAACCAACTGCATAACAGAACAGTACGGAACAATTTTAAACTGTATGAATTATTTTAGCCATACCAAACCTATCAGCCAGAATTTTTTCTTTAAAGAGCCTAAGAAAACATTTTGTAATGAGGAATTACCAGCCTTTTAAATGAACTATAACTACATCCACTAACCTTCTGCAACATACACTAACCTTCTGCAACATACACTAACCTTCTGCAACATACATTAACCTTCAGGTTTCTAGCTTTCTTTTTCTGGCTTAACCAGACATTCTTTTTCTTTTAGACAACATATAAACTCTCATCAAAATCTTTTCTATCCTAACATGATCCTGTTGGAACATGTTTTTCCATAAACAAAGCAGCTTAACATACAAACAGCTCTCCATAAGATACATTCTAAAAACTGTAAATTTTTTTTTTTTAATTAGCACAAATCATACGGCTGGGTTTTATTTAATAAAATTGATAAAATAAATATCAAAGTATTTTTATTCTCTTTTAAAGGATCGAGAAACTTTTAAATTTTGTCAGATTATCCAAGATCATTGTCATACCCAAATGCCTGATAAACTTTAAATATTTTATAGCCTTAAACATGTAAACAATTTTTAAAACTCGTCCCTGCAATATCAAAGCAAAGTATTTTCTTTAGGAGTGAATTTATAAAGCATAACCATAATTTCAAAGTCAAAACCAGACAGAAGTTTAAACCAGATTTTAAGACCAAAATTTATCAGTGAAAACAACCCAATCTTTAGAACCAATATCAACTTAGAACAAGACTTTCTTCTTATCTTAAGAGGAAATAAAATCATTTTGACTCAGAGATTTTGTAACCTTTGTTCTTTTTTTTTTCTTTTTTGAGTCACACCATGTGGCAATTTATATTGTTGTTATTTAAACATATGTATTCATAGACCCTACAAACACATAGGCACATATACGTGTTTTAAACAAGGATTTGAATTTAACCTTAAAACATACCCAATTATTTTTGATCATATCAACCATTTAAAACCAATTGAAAACAATCATCTCAAATTACTGTTTGATCTGTAAGTTGCAAGCCCCCTAGGTGGGAGGAGGGAAGAGAGGAGCAAGAGGGCGTGGTGAGCTCCTGCTGCTCTCTTCTCTCTCTCTTGCTGAGCTGGCATGAAGGCAAGGGGGAGGAATTTTTCTTTATTTTCGGCAGCCAGAACAGCTCCTGTCGTGGAGCAGCTAAGGTGCCAATCCCCGCCTAAGGACTTTTACCTAGCAAGCCCACGAGCCTTGCCTGTTCTCTTGGCTCCCTGTGAGCTTTACTCTAGCTTACCTCCCCCGCAGGTCATGAACCTGCTTTCTGGCCGGGCCTCTCTTGAACACTGCAGGCAGCTCCCGGGGAGTCCAGCCGCGCCGCCCCACCTCCCCTCCGAGCGGGGGGGGGCGATCTTCCACCCCTTCGTCTCGGGGCTGCAGAGCCCGTGCCCTGCTGGTTGTATATTGTTATTTCACAGACTCCCAAGTGTCCGAGCACCGCCCGCCCAAGCTCCAGCTCCACGTCTCCCCAGCCACCTGAAAGCATTTTCTCCTCGGCTCCTATGGGAGGGAGAGCACATTGCTTGGTGTCCTGTCATGCAGCCGTGTGCTCCCGAGCTCCCGAGCCGAGAACTAGTTTCAATTTCAACTGTCCTCTGTCCAAATTCTCATCAGTCCAAGTCCACAAAGAAACAGACACAGAAAAACACATACATACATGAGAAACACAGGATTTAAACAGACAAAACACGACACAAGCCGCGCGGCACGAGATCGAAGCAAAACTGAAAGCAAAAATTCAGATGGAGACTGTGTTGGAAATTCGTCTCCCAGACGGGGAGCCAACAAATTGGCCCCCACTCAGATGAGAGCCGGTGGGACTCGAACCCACTCAGACCCTCCAGATGAGGGCCGGTGGGACTCGAACCCACTCAGACCCTC